TGTCTCTTGGTGTATGTTTTGCATTTAAAATATTGTTTAATCAGCTTCCAAGATTTCTATGTTTAATTCTTTCCTTACATCTGAGATTATTTGTTATTATTTCCTTGAATAAGCACTTTGTTCCATCCCCCTTTTCACCTTCTGGTATATACATTATTCTTATGTTTACTCTCGGAATAGAGTTTGATAGGTCCCAAATGGCTTTTTCGTTTTCCCTAAATCTTATTTGTCTCTCCTCTTCTATTTGAATTATTGCTTGAATTTTATCTTTTTTTTTTCCTTTCCAAGATTGGATCTTTTTATTATGTTTTCCATAGAGGTTTCCATTTCATTTATTGTGTTTTTCATATACAGAATCTGTTAGGAATTTTTTAATAGCCTCCATATTTGTTGAAGAACTCCCTCTGCTCCTACATTTTATTTTGTATTTTAGTAATATTTTGCTCTGTGTTAATGTGTGTGTGTGTGTGTGTGATATCCATCCTGTGGATTTTCTTCCAAGAAAGAAAAGGGCATTGGGGTCCTGGGGAGGGAGATGAGTACAATGGTGATGGGTGTGAGCTGAAATTATGGACAAGGGGAACTATCAATAACAATATCGTAAAACAAAGAATTGTAGGGGCCAGAGCAATAGTATCACTGGTAAAGCATTTGCCTTGCACATGGCCAACCTGGGTTCTATCCTCAGCATCCCATATGGTTCCCCAAGCACCGCTAGGAGTAATTCCTAAGTGCAGAGCCGGGGGTAACCCCTGACCATCACTGGGTGTGACCAAAAATGAAAACAAAAAACCCCAAAGAATTGTAATCAATAACAGAAGTTTTTTAATTAATTATTTTAATAGTTATTCCTCATCTGTCAGACTCATGAACAGATGTCATCAAGATTGTTTTCTGGGACCAGCATGCAGCTGACCAGGGCTCCATCCTTGACAACCCATATGGTCCCTCTAGCACCCCTAGGAGCAATTTCTGAGCACAGAGCCAGGAGTAGCCCTGAGCACTGCTGAGTGTGATACTCAAAGCAAAACTAAATAAACAAATAAAAATAAAATGCCACACTTTAAAGAAAAAAGTATTTTCTAAGGAATTTTCTTACTCTGTCCCCAGATTTTAGCCTCTCTTGTGTTCCCAGAACAAGGCACAGTGGCTAAAAGATGTGTTATACTTTGAGCCACTGGTTATGTGTGAGGGGGACCCACTGTGTGGGGTTTTCTTCAGTCACTGACCTGTGTGGCATGAGCAGGTTGGATATAATATCACTCCGCATGCCTTGTCCTCTCCTGACCAGATCTGTCTGTCTAAGACCCTGCCTCGAGGCCAGGCTGCAGGCATTGGCAGCAGAGTAGTGGGTTACTCCGGAAAGACTGGCCTGAATTCTCAGCTGAAAGGGGAGGAGAGCCCTTGGAGATAAACAAGTTCAGCAAGGTCTGAGCTCCAGGGTCCATTTCTGCAGCCTGCTTGGGGCCTTGGCAGGCAGCACTGAGGCTTATCAATGAGGTCTGGTACAGGTGCAGAGACAGCTGACAGGGGCTCCCCTGCCATGCTGTGTCTAGGAGACTTGCTAGAACTCTTTATATATATCCCCCGTATATATATATTTGGTTTTTGGGTCACACCTGGCAATGCACAGGGGTTACTCCTGGCTCTGCATTCAGGAATTACGCCTGGCAATGCTCAGGGGACCATATGGGATACTGGGAATCGAATCCGGGTCGGCCGCTTGCAAGGCAAACACCCTACCCACTGTGGTATCACTCTGGCCCCGAAATGCTAGAACTCTTGTCTATTCATGGTCCCCCAATTTAAGCAGCTCTCTCCAAAGTCCAGGCTTTCCTCATAATTCACATGGCAGAGACACCCCCACCATATCCCACCCCACTCCCCCATCCTCCCACCCTCCTGGGGCCTAGCCAAAAGTTGGGATTTATAGCCGAAAGCTCTGGGGCCTGTGTGAGCACTGGTGGAGTTTGGTGAACCCTTACTCCCTAGGGTCCCTTTGAGTTTCGGGAGAATTGGGTGTGCCTAAAGTCCACTGCCCTCTTCCTGCTTGGTCTGTGTCTTGCCACAAACACACTTACCTCTTCTGTCTAGGCAGCAGCAAGAGCTCCAACCTCTCTTCCTCCTAAGTGCTGCCAATATCACAGGTGACAGTCACCCACCTTCAAACACGCAGGTGCTTGCATGGACCAGGAGCCCTCCAGTGACGCAGGGAGTTGTATGAGATTTACAGTTGGGGACTGGAGAGATAGCACAGTGGGTAGGGTGCTTGCCTTGTATGCAACTAACCTGGGTTCAGCTCCAGGAGTAATTCTTGAGTGCAGAGCAAGGAGTTACCCCTGAGCATTGCTGGATTTGGCCCAAAAAGAAAAATAAAATTTATAGTTGGATTCAAAGACCTATAAGTCTCCTTTCCTTTGCTTTTTTTCCTCCAGCCATCCTTCCTTCCTCCCTCCCTAAGAATTGTATGAAAATATCATCTTCACCAAACTCTTTTGGTGTGGGGGTTGGGGGGTAACTCAACTGATAATCTGTTTTGATCAATCCAGTACATGCTTATTTATTTCATTAATTTATTATGAATCTATAGTGACTTAAGGACTGAGACATAAAGCTTCTCTCCCTCCCCACACCACATCAGATTCACATATAAAGCAGAATAAAGTAATAATCATAATCATAATAATCAGAAACAACAGTATTTTTTTCAGTCCTCTAATTTGTCACTATCAACTGAGTTATGGGGAGCTCGGATCCCTGACTACTGAGACTATGGCCAGAGACTCAGACTATGGTCAGAGTCGTAGGAAAAATGATTCCAATGCTGGCTCAGTACTGCACTGAGCACTGAGTACAGCACTATCACTGCAAACAATCAAAGAGCATTGATTACAGAAAAAAAATTAATGATTCATCTAAACGTCTGCATTAAAAATTACTGTGAGCAAAGTTAAAAGACAAATGTCAATTTTGGAAAACTATTTGTAATAAATAACAGAGACAAAGATCTAATATCCAAAGAGAATCCAGAAATAGCACTTTTTTAAAAAACAAACCAAAACAGGAGGAGGCAGAGAATAGTACAGTGAGTAGGGCAGCTGCTCTGCACACAACCAACCTGGGTTTGATCACCGACACCCCATATGGTCCCCTGATCCTTGCCAGGAGTGATTCGTGAGCACAGAGCCAGGAGTAAGCCCTGAACAGTGCTGGGTGCGGCCCCAAACAAAACAAAAACAGGCCAGGAGATCCCACCACTAACAGTGTTGTCAAACACTAAGAAAAAAAGTTTTAAAATAAAGACCAATAGGGACTGGAGTAGCACAGTGGGTAGGGCATTTGCCTTGCACACGGCCGACCAGGGTTCAATTCCCAGCATCCCATATGATCCCCTGAGCACTGTCAGGAGTATTCCTGAGTGCATGATCCAGAAGTAACCCCTGTGCATCGCCGGTGTGATCCCCCACAAAATTAAATAAATAAATAAATAAATAAATAAATAAAGACCAATAGTCACTACAGAAAGTTGATGGAAGTTGAACAGCTCAAGGATGAATAAATGCGATGGCTCCATCATGCAAAGGGATAATTAGCTAAAGCAGAGATGGACATGTATGGCTTTCAAGTCAAACCAGGCTGCCTGCCACCAGCCTGTGACAAGGACAGAGGCGAGCACATTCACTTATGTCTGTCTGTGTCTGCTTTCATGCGACATCAGAGCTTACTCAATAGATTAGAGACAAAACTGAAAATATTTACTTCCTGACCTTTCCCCAAAGAAGTTTGTTGAGCCATGACATAAAGAAACAAAAAGTAAAGGACAGATTTTTCATCTGTCACATTGTCAAAAATCCAAGTTTGAAATTGTTTTTGTAGAACCTTCTCACTCATAGAGTACATTGTTCAATCTCTTTAGATGGCAAGTTAATAATAATTTATGTACATTTTCATCCAGCAATTCCATTTTTTGGAGATTTTCCTTCTGCAAGGTCATTTGAATATGTGGGTATGCCAGTTAATCATTGCAGACTTACTGCCTTGTGGGAAGAAAACTGAACCACTTCAACCGACCATCAGTAGGCAACTGGCTAAATCATGGCTTATCTTGAGGTGGAGTGATAATATAGTGGATATGGTGTTTGACTCGCATGCAGCCAAACCTGATTTGATTCCCACCACCCGATATAGTCCCCCAAGCCTACCACGAGTTATTCCTGAGCTCATATCTGGGAGTAAGCCCTGAGTACTGTCAGGTGTGGCCCCAAATCAAAATCAAACCAAAACGAAAAAAAAAAAAAGGAGAAGAAGAAATGTAGTTCATCTATAAAACAGAGAGGTATCCAGAGAGGTATGCTGTTCACTAGAAGAATGAGGAAAGGGGTCAGGGAGACAGGTCAGTGGGCTGGAGGGCACATGCTTTGCATGCAGGAGCCCTGGCTTTGATCATTGGTACACATGGCCCCGAGGCACCACCAGGAATGACCCCCAGCCCTGAGCCAGGCGTAGTCTCAGAGCACTGCAAGGGTGTGGCCCCAAATCAAAAACAAAGCAAAACAAAAATGAGGAAGCTCTCTGTATACTGCACGACTGGGGAGATGGCGCAAAGGGCTGAAGCATCTGCATGGCACACCGGGGCCTCTGGTTCATCTACCTAGAGTGGGGCACAGTCCACAAGCATCACAGGGTGTGGTTCAAAATTTTTTAAAAAACCAGAAGGGCACATACAGAGCAGAACTATGATATGCTGCCTGATGTGTCTGTATTTGCTCCCATCTGTGCAAAGAACGCTCGCCGGGAGGCTTCAGGGAAGCCGAGTAATGGGTTACACATGGGGACCAGGTGACATGGGTTTATTTGATCACTGAGCCATGTTTGTTCACTTCCTAGTTTATCATCTACTAGATGTCAGGCTTTTTCTAGATGTTGTGGATAAAAGAAACAAAAAGTTCTGTTTTCCTGTACTCTAGTAGAGGGTCGAGTAAATAGAAATTGAATCTATTTATTTACGTAAATAGAACAGGCTATCAGATGTCAAGGCATTAAGGAGAATAACGGGGGAAATGGAAAGATGCAAAGCGTTGAGGATATGTTGGAGAAAGAGGTAGAAAGGCTGAGCCAAGCAAATCTCACAGAAAAAGTAGCTTTTTTGTGACTGTTATTGTTGTTCTAGAGTACTAGAGATCGAACCCTCATCTGTGTGAGGCGTGTGCTCACATGCAAGCCTGATTTTTGGGCCACATCAGCAGTGCTCAGGGCTTTCTCTTGGCTCTGTGCTCAGGGCTCACTCCTAGCGGTGCTCAGAGGACTGTATGAGGTGTCAGGATCAAACTGGGGCTGACTGCGTGCATGGTGAGTGCTTCGCCTGCTGTATTATCCCTCCAGCCCCACAGGAAGTAGACGTCTTTCTAAGCAACAATCCAAAGGAAACAGAAGTGTGAGACTGGAAATGATATTATCAATTTAACACATTCAATTAAAGGGAGAAGTTAGACTTTCTAATAATATTGTTAGTGTTTATTAATGAGATTATTTTTTATTATTGATAGGGTTATTATCCTCACAAGAAATATTATTGTGAGTCCAAGGAATTGCCTGCAAGCAACTAAAACAAGAACCGTTTATCTGCCCAATCCAAGTGCTGATATCAAAGAATATAAACGTGTGGAAGCGTTTAGATGGACAGGCACGACATGGAGAGTTCTGAAGACAGGTAAGGAGTAAGTCAGGACTAAGGGAAGAATTCTTGGATAAGGGACAGCTTTTCCAAAAGAAAAAGGTGAGAAAAGACTTGGCCAGTGGTTCTGAACGCTGGTGGGAAGGCATGGTCAGGGAGGGCTCTAAATAGGAGCTTTCAAAACTCAAGGCCAGCACTAAAGACTCTGGGGAAGGACCCGAGGAAATGCAGACCGGGGCACCTAGAGCCATGGGTGAGTCCCTTCCCCTGCTCCTTACTCACCCCTGCTCCAGAGCCTGTTGTGTCAACCTGAGCTCTAATGACATCTTGAGTCAGTTAATTCTTTCTTCTAGGAAACTTTTCTGTGTGTGCTAGGATTTTTCTCCATCCCTTTAGACACTCGCAGTAGACATCCCTTCACCACCCCCCACCTCCATCACACTGGTTGTGGTTTACCAAACATTGTTTTAGATCCTTCTGTAAGAAAGTATCACCTCTGGTTATGAACTATTTATCTTGAGGCTGAAAAAAGCCAAAAATTTTCATTTTTACTTCAGAGAGGTGGTCATGTGACACAGTTGTGGCCAACAAAATGAGAGATGTGCAAGAAAGAGCCTTCTTCTTTATCCTCCCTTTTGGAATCTTGAATGAGACCAAGAGCCTAGAGCAGCCACTTTGCAGCCATGAGATGACAAAGATAAATAAGTAAGAAATGACGGGGCTGGAGAGGACAGTACAGCGAGTAGGCTGCTTGCCTTGTGTGTGGCCAACCCTGGTCTGATCCCAGCATCCTGTACAGTTCCCTGAGCCAAACAGGAGTGAATTTTGATTGCAGGTGGGAGTAAGTAACCTCTGAGCACTGCTAGGTGTGGCCAAGAAACAAAACAAAAGAAAAATACCAATCAGTGGCAACAGATCCTGAGGTTGGCCTACAAAACTGAGTCTGCCAAGGAGGGGCATGGATAGGGGTGAAAAGACAATCTGGTGGAAGGTGTGGTGTGGCTATACCGTATGCCTGAAACTCTATTACCACAGTGCCAAAATAAAAATCGAAAGTAATTATAACTAGGAGGAGGAGGAGGAGGAGGAGGAGGAGGAGGAGGAGGAGGAGAACATCAGGATCACCAGGCAGTTGGACAACACATTTCTGGGACAATGGAGCAATGCTAGCTTCCATTTATTTTCAGACTTCTTATGTGGATAACTTAGTACTTAGGTATTTAGGTGACCAAGTTGAGCTTTTCTTTTCTTTGCAATTGAAAACAATCTCAACAGTTAAATCACATAAAACGTGTTTGGGTTTTGTTCTGGAAATGATAAAAATCTTCTGATTCCAAGGAGTTTGTTTTTAATTTTATTGTCATGCCTATTTTAAAATTTTACTTTACTTCTTATAAAATGTAGTCTGTGAAGAGGACTGGATGCAAGTAGACTTGGAAAATGCCATTATAGTAGAAGCAAAGGGAAAAAAACAGGATTCGAGCTAACTTAGGGATCATAGGAATAAACCACAGTGGATAATTTTAGGTACACTAAGAGGTAAACTGTTTTCTCAATAATCAGAGGTTTGAGGATAGATCCTAAGCAATTGGGTATAATCAGCAAAGAAGCATCAAAAGTTAAAAATTATATTTCTAGTATAGGTGATACTTTAAATTGGTAGGATGAAAGGAGCATATATAAAAAAAATAATATTTAGTTTCAGGCTTAATATTAAGGGCATTTAGATATGCAGTTTTGGAAGTAGTAAAAACTTAGGAAAGTATTAATTATTTAAATATATTTATAATCCAACTTTTTAAGTTTTATGAAGCTAACATTGCTTATTACAAAAGTATATATAAATGAGGTAACATAAATAAAGTATAGAATACTTTAAAATATAGTTAATTTAAATAAAATTAAAAATACACAGACAGGTTTGAGGGGAAACTTCAAAAACCTGGAGTGAATATATGTCAAGTACAAGGCTCTGAGTTCCATCCCTGGCATCACAAGCTGCTGAGACCAACCCAAATAATTTTAGGGTTATTTGAGTGTGTCTATGTAATTTATTTAACAACTGGGGAGAGAATTCCTGAGCACTGTCGGGAGTCCTCTCCCAATTTTTAAAATAATTACATAAACACACTCAAATAACCCTAAAATCTAGTTATAATGGTAGTAAAATGTAGTTATGTATACATATACATAGATTATGCTGTATAAAAAGGTAATGTGCTTTATTCACTTAATAGTAATTTTTTTTTTTGCTTTTTTTTGGGTCACAGCCGGCGATGCACAGGGATTACTCCTGGCTCTTTACTCAGGAATTACTCCTAGCGGTGCTCAGTGGACCACATGGGATGCTGAGAATGGAACCCTCGTTGGCCGCGCGCAAGGCAAATGCTCTACCTGCTGTACTATGGCTCCAGCACCAATAGTAAATTTTAAATATCATTCTACTTCAATTAATTTTTTTTCTTTTTGGGGTCACACCCGGAAATGCACAGGGGTTTCTCCTGGCTCTGTATTCAGGAATCACTCCTGGTAGTGCTTGGGAGACCATATGGGATGCTGGGAACCAAACCTGGGTTGGCCACATGCAAGGCAAACGCCCTACCCGCTGTGCTATTGCTCCAGTCCCTACTTCAATTAATATTTATCATCTTTCTAATTCCTTTGTTTTATAAAGAGTTCTGAGATACATCTTTCTCACAGTAAAAAATAAAATTGACCATATCCATAACTATGTCCTAGGATAAAGTCCTACACGAAATTGCTACAGGGTATGCCTTTTTCAGACTTTTGATAAGTGTTTCTAAATCATTCTCTAGAGAATTCATAGTGATTTCGAATCCTACCAGCACTGTATTCATAAACATGTATCTCCAAAGTTTTTTCAAGACTAAACTTATAAACTTAAAACTCAAAGTTTGGAGACTTTTATAAAATTCAATTAACCTTATTATTGTTTTCATTTTGAATTTTTTAAATTGCCAGACTTTGAGTTGCTTATATATTATAGGTAATCTTGTGAGAAAATTACTGACTTGACCTTTGCCATCTTTGGGCTAGGAGCCTTTACTGATTTATAAAGAGCTCTTAATATATATCTTAATCCTTCATTAGTGCTACAACATTTTCTTAGCCTGAATTTTCCATTTTATTTTAGGGTATATTTTGAAAAGCATATTTTAAATTATTAGAATAGTCAAAGTTTAAGAATAGAATTTGTCAATAGAAGGGCCCTCAGAATGGCCACTTAAGTGGCTATTGTGAAGAATGAGAACACGATGTATTCAAAAGCAACTAAGAGATTGAAGCACTATTTGAAAGGATCAGCTGATGTTGGAGACCATGAATTTCTAATAGATTCAATCTGCAAAGATGTTATAGCATTGGGTTATTTGAGTGTAGGAGGAGAAAATAGGGTTAGTAGAGAGTTAGGGTTTTGCTTGCTGATATACTCAGAAGGGGGGCAAAAGAATAAGGGTGTTGTATATATTTTCAAGGGTGTCGCTGAACACTTGGACAAGAAAGGGTAACGAATGCCCTGGGAGAAAATAGGATCTGGAAGCGCCTATGGAGTTGAAGATGGATTCAGTGGGGAGAAAGCATGAGATAGCTACAAGATTAGGGAATTGAATACAAATTTCTTCTATCATTTTTGCTTCTGATACATTTATTGTTTTAAAACAATGATGATTTGTATCTATCCTATTTACCTCCAATTTTTAATTTTCTTTATTCATTTCCTAAATAGTAGGTCAGCTCACACTCAGCCAAGTTTCTCCCATTAACTTACTGACTCAAACACATTTTGTTTTAATCAATGTGTTTTGCATTTCTCTCTCTCTCTCTCTCTCTCTCTCTCTCTTCCTTCTCTCTCTTTCCCTCTCTTCCCCTTACTAACATAACAAGCAGAAGCATTATTTTCCTTGTCTTCTTGTATTCCCAAAAATATATAACTCCCAAAAAAATAGTGTGAGAAGGAGCAAAGTTGGCAAGGAAAAGGAAAAACAGATCTGCACCTTGGGCCTTATGAGGATCACAAGACCAGTGGGTAAACATCGGAGCATTCAATGAGTTACCATGGTCAGTGGTCACAACTCAGGGTCATCCTGGCCCAAATGGCCAACTGCCAAGTACCTCCTGTCCTGAGCAGAACTCCAAAGTCCAGCACTCTGTTTGCTCTCACCAGAGATAGTTCTTAGAACAGTTAATTTGCAAGTATCTGAAGTCTTGAGAACACCAGAAACTCCCTGCCATTCCCTACTCCAGTTTGGGGTTCTCGCCACTACAAAGTTGAGGGGCTCATTGTTCAGTATTTTGAAAACATGCAAGAAGAGTTTCAAACAGCTCTTTTCCAAACCCAGTATCTTTCTTCCCCAGTACAGCCCTGAGAAGCAGCCGAGCAGAGATTCCTCTGAAGTGCAGTATTCTGGGAGAAAAGGGCCCTAGCAAAAGACTCAGAAAGGTGGGGAGGGACAAGGCCTGGTCTCTGCTGATTTGAGACCAATGCAGATTGCACACTGCATCTTTCCAAACACAAAGGAATCAGCCAGGTTAGCCCGCAGAGCCCTCTTCTCTAGAAATCCCCTAGCCTGTTCTCCTAGATCTACTCACAAAGAGCTGTCCTGAGCTTCCTTTCTCTTCAGCCTCCACTTGCATTTGAAGTGGTAATTGAAAATGTCAGATTTTTTTCTTTTGGGGTTACATTCGGCAATGCACAGGGGTTACTTCTGGCTCTGCACTCAGGAATTACTCCTGGTGGTGCGACCATATGGGATGCTGGGAATCGAACCCTGGTTGGCCGCTTGCAAGGCAAATGCCCTACCCACTGTGCTATCACTCCAGCCCCGAAAATGTCAGATTTTGCCTATAAAATCTTCATTTACCTTCTTCACCGCTGCCTAGACATCTAAATAGATAAAAACAATCTGGTCTGCAGTGCAGCATTCAGTGTTAGGAGGAATAACAAAGCAGAGCCAAAGCTGACTCTCAACCCAGTGAACAACTCACTTAAGCCGCAGAACTTCAATCTAGTCATTGGAAACACTGAGTCCACTTTGTATATTTTTAAAGGGCTTATCTTATACGTATGCATTCTGTTCTCAAGAAATGACCTGGAGAGAAGGTCAGCCATCTCTCTGAAAGGGTACAACTTGAACCAAGGAAGGGGGAAAATACATACTTTCACAGAGCTTTTGTGTTCATGTCCTTCAGAAGGTTATCAAATACCTCACAGAGCGCAACATACACACACACACACACACACACACACACACACACACACACACACACAGAGTCTGGGTGGCATTGAAAACCACTGCTCAGAAATAACCAGGCTGATACTCCTCCCGGCCTGCCTCACATCAAAGTTAAACACATAATAACAGAAGCCAACAGTAGCCCCAGGCCACTTCATTCCCTCACTCTTGCCAAAACACGAAACTAAACATTTTCAGCTACTCCAATCCCTCTGAACCCCTCATGTGCCAAATTAGCAAATGTCAAGCTTAACTCTCCAACCAGAAGACCTTTCATCTCCAAACCCCACAGACCAGGGCGCCCCTCTGCTATTACGCAGTGTTTTGCTCTGGAGGGTCCTGGCCCTGCCCTGATCAAACAACTACCTGAGACAAACGAATATGCCGCGAGGATGTTGCTGAGCAAAGCCATCTCCTCACACTCCCGGGTCCCCGTGGTGGCTCTGGGCAGCAGCTGGCGGGCAGCCTGGACGCAGCGCCCGGGGGAGGCCTCCTGGAGATGCTTCCACAGGACCCTCTTCTGTTTGGGGACACAAAATGAGTCATGAGTATATATTCTGCGTTCCTGGGGCCCTGGGTGGTCTACAGACAGTTACCCGGCGTTCCAGGCAACAGCAAGCTCTTACATTGCCCTTTTCTTAACCTTCAGCCTGTCTTGTTCCCCTTCTCCCAGCTTCCTCACCTTTCCTCAGACTGTGCACGGTGTTCTCCCGGCTGGCCTCGAAGGCCAGGCATCTCTGTAGTCACCACTTTGGAGGCCCCAAGCCACAGCTGCTCTTTGCCTGCTCTGCTTTCCTCTGCACTGGAAACACCCTTGTACTCTGATCGCTTGGTTTTGGGTCACACAGGTCACCAAATGCGTGCCCTTAGCCATGGGTCAGACGAGACTCTTCCAGAACTGCCAGCAGAGTTCAAAGACCCACAAGCCCATGAGAGCAGAGGCAAGTTTGATGCCCTTAGTATGCATGCAGCTGACTCAGTTCAATCCCCGGCCCCACCTGTTGCCCTGAGCATCACCAGGTATGGCCCAGAAGGCCTGAATGCATTTCTGGAGTGGTCCAGGAGATCCCGGGCACTGCAGGACCCAAGCAATAGTATATCTTTGGGTCTCTCATAAACTGCAACCTGATTGGCTAAGAATAGCTATTTGGGGACATCAGTGTCCTGAGCACTGTTTAGGATATTCACACCCTACAAAATTAAACTAAAATTAAAAAAGAAAAGCTGGACCCTTCTATGTATTAATGGATCAAAGACTAAGACCTAGAGATAAAACTATGAGATTCTTAGGAGATAGCTAGGAGGCATACTTTATGACACTGCATTTAGTAATCATTTCTTGGCTATGACAACCAAAAGCATATGCAACAAAAATAAACTAGGTAAAGCAGATCATAATGAAATGTGAAATTTCTGTCCATCAAAAGAAACAAACAAAATAGTGAAAAGGGCAACTCTGAAATGGAATAAAAAGAGTTGCAAATCATATCTCTGAGTTAATAAATAGAATATATAAAGAACTATAAGTCAAGCAGCAAACAATCTGATATAGAAGTTGAACAACAATCTGATATAGAAGTTGAACAAAAGACTTGAAGATGCTACTTTTGTTGCATCTACTGTGAGAATGAAGACCATCCTCAGCAACCAGACTGTCGACATTCCTGAGAATGTCGACATTTTCCTCAAGGACTGCACAGTCATCGTGAAGGGCCCCGAGGCACCTTGCAGAGGTACTTCAATCATATCTACTTGGAACTTCAGTCTCCTCGGCAAAAAGAAGAGGCTCCAGGTTGACAAATGGTGGGGAAATCGAAAGGATCTGACTATGGTCTGCACCATCTACAGTCATGTGCAGAACACAATCAAGGGATCACACTGGGCTTCCGCTACAAGATGAGATCTGTGTATTCCCATTTCCCTATCAATGTGGTTATTCAGGAGAATGGGTCACTTTTTGAAATCCAAAATTTCTTGGGTGAAAAATATATGCGCAGGGTTCATATGAGGTCAGGTGTTGCTTGTTCTGTCTCTCAGGCCCAGAAAGACGAGTTGATCTTGAAGGAAATGACATTGAACTTGTCTCAAACTCAGCTTTATTCAGCAAGTCACAACAGTAAAAAACAAGGATATCAGAAAGTTCGGGGATGGTATT